CTAATTTTACCATACTTTCCTGTTCTATTTGTCCCTGTCACGTCTGTTCCCATCAACAAGTCTTAGTCTTGCAAGTTTACTTATTTCCTGCTATTGCCCTACAGGTCACATTTTAGCTAACTTGGCTTTATTAAATGCAATCAAAACTAACATTAGAACATTCAAAAGGCTACTAAAATTTTCCTCTCACAGAAGGAACAAGACACCCATTTATGCCTTTTAAATAATGTTTCCATTTTGACCAATTAACAAGAATTAGCAAGCGTCGCTATTTTATTGCTGGGATGTGGAGGAGAAAACTGACCATATGGAAACAGTGCACATTTTGGAGCCGGTGGTACCATGGATAATGCCATTTTTACTAAATCAGTTAATTAAAAAAAGAAATGATACTAACCTGGAAGAAAGATCGAGCTTCTCTGTATCGGCATTCAATAAATCTAGAGTGAGACCTTTCCTCAAGGAACCTGGATGGCTCTTTTGGAATCTGGACTAGTAATCCATCAATGGAAAGAGTTAATAATTCCATCCTGTTACAAGAAGGGGAAAATGATGTTATTCTGTCCAGGAAAATGTAACAAAAAAAAGGCGTTTCCTTTCGAATTTGCATTATTAAGACAGCAAACTAACAAATACAAATTGCTGCTCCTTCTGACACACAACCACAACTTGCATTTTCACCTAAATTTTTATCCATCTTAATCTGCTATTCTCAAACCATTCAACTCATTTACTGTACGCCTAAAAAAAGAACCAAAACAATTGTGACAATTGGGTGGCAGAACTGCCAATCAAAGGAAAGCAACATTGGGCACCGCCTGCTGGGTTCTATTCCAACAGGAAGAGGGAACTAGAGCAGAGGTGTTTGGAGGGTGAAGGTGGAAGGACAGATCTGAGGGAGGTTTGGAGACTAAGCTTGGGAATCTGTCTCTCCGTCAGTGACGCAGGCTTGGAAATAATTTTAGGGCCAGGGTAAGCTACTATGGACAAGATATAGATAATTTGTAGAAATAAGTGAACCTGTTTTAAAACCCATTTTAGTTATTTAATAAAAATCAAGGTGTTCCCTTATTTATTTGGTTTTTATCCCGCCTTTACTATTTTTTATAAATAACTCAAGGTGGTGAACATACATAACACCCTTTACTCCTCCTCTTTTCCCTGTATTAACCAGGTATCTGTGCTATCCGCTATCTTCCCTGTATTCTCCCTGTTAGAGACTTAAAGAATTTTTATACCCTCAAAGGGTTTTAGTGGTGGCAGGAAGACAAAAGGATAATCAAGGAAAAGACCTCCACAACAAGGAGGGAGGACAGGCAACACAACTATGATGTTTTTACCATTTTATTTGAAGGCTGCTGTAATGGATGACATGAGCGAGGAAGATACTGGAACGGAGGATCAAGGTTATCAGGAGCGAAGGGGAGCATTCCAGAGCAAGTGCCTTCTCAGTCCGCAGCAGGACCGTGGGAAGAGAAAGAGGTTGAGGACAGCCCCTCCCCAGAGTCTCATGGGGTATAGCCACTAGTTCAGTGTTGTCCAAACTTGGCCACTTTAAGATGAGTGGACTTCAACTCCCAGAATTCCCCA